AGAAGATTTTAGCTTGAAAATACTTTTTAAAAGGGTTGCCACCTGTTAGAAAAGTCGATATAATTAACCCATATTATATGAACTGTTGAAATATAGGTGTCAAACAAAGGAGCACTAAGAAATATTTAGTCTGAATATTTAGGATATTTTTGGGGTGTTTGAACAGCGCTGCCACCGGTTTAAAAAGTGAAATTCAAATTACTTAACAAGTTAAATTAATTATTAAAAGACGTGGAGCAATCGAGATGGCGTTTGAAAGGCTATATGTCAAAACTATACTTGGGAGGGTTGCCACCTATTTGCAAAATCAAATTCAATTCGAGCTGCTACGACTAGATAATAGACATTTGTATGAAAATACGGGTGTCAGATAAAAGAGGATTAAGAGGAGTTTAGTTTTAAAATATTTTTAAGAGGGTTGCAACTTGTTTGAATAATCGAATTCAATTAAATAATGCACAAGTTATATCAAATAATAAAATATGGGTGTCAAACGATGGAGGACTAAGAAATTTTTAGATTTAATATTTGGAATATTTTTGGGTTATTTGAAGAGGGTTGCCACGGGTTTAAAATGTAAAATTCATTTTTTGACAATTTGGCGCCATGCCGGTTTACTAGTAATACGGATAATAAAGAAAGAATATTTTTTTTTGCAATAATATTGCGCAGTTCTTTGAATGTCAAGAACTTAAAACGAGACTTAGAAGACAAGAATTAAAATAAAATAATCGGCTATTAATCTCTGTTCTTCTGCCAATTCATCCTTGAGGAGTTGGATGCACACGCCTTGCGCATTTTCACACCAATCAGCAACAAATATGCACCGACAATCACTACAACAACAATATGTAGAATTGGAAAACTGATACCAAATAATGAAGTAAATTTGGGTTTTTGTTAAGTGAAAACATTCGACTAACACCTTTCATGCACTTCAAATGTGATCTGGGAAGCAACACAGCTTGACAACAAGCCATCTCTGCAGCCACCCGCACAACGCACTTGAAAGCGCAGAGCGAGCAACAAATTGCAGGAAATTTAAGTTGATTTGCAGGAGGCTGGTGGCATAAAGCGTAACGCCCTCAACCACAGCAGACCATGAAGCAGGCAGGATATGTACATATATGGATGTGGGCAAGTGTGTGAGCAGACAGTATTGGCGCAGACATTCTTACGCAAAGGATGGCAAGCTTGTATCTACCCTCAATTGTGTAGCTCGCTTTGATTGGCAGCTTATTGTTGATGCTTAACATTTTTTTACAACTTTCTGCTACAAATCCCTCGCTTCGATGCAATGTGCGTTGTCATCGAAAAAATCGAGCGGTCGAAAAAAAAACAAAAACCAAGTGCCAAAAGGCAATCAGTATCCGAGTTTTCAACGTTTTGCGCTTATTTGTCAAACAATAACAAAAACGAGAGCATTGCAACAACCACTTGCGGAAGCGTAATTGTGGCACAGCATGCAGCTGCAATAATAAACAGCGGCAAAGAATAAACACGGTAAGAGCACAGAGATTATGTAGCGCGTCGTCGTCTTCGTTTATACCTAGGCGTCCATACATACATATGTATGTACATAGACCTTTAATGGGGTTGTAATGTGGCTGCTAATGGATTCTTGATTACCAATGCCGCAAAAATGCTCGACTATGGGGCGGCTGTATGGTTCACAGCGTAAGTAAACACCGGCATTCGCAAGCTACGAAACGGAAAGGATTCTGCAGTTGGTATTAATGTTGTTGTTGTTCTTTTCAATGTTGTAATTGTATTTGTTGGCATTATAATTGTTTGGGCGTTAAAAATGTTGACACTTTCAATGGAGAAATTAAGCACCGAGTAAGCCTTTTATTAAAGCCCAACTGGAGGTGAGAATTTGAGCGGAGTGTTAGTGATTGTGAGACGGGTAAATCGGGAGACGGTTCTTGATTGCAGAAATAACTCTGAGGAAGATTTAGTTATTACCTGGATTTTCATCGCAGATTACTTAAAAACAGTACTTAAAGGACAAGTAATTTCTAAGCAAAAAAACACAACTGACTTCGATGCTCACATGCAAAATTGCGAATACCGTTAATTTCTTTATGGTCCAATGGTCGGAGCTAAACCGAATTAGTTGGAGTTTCCATCTTTATGAAAACGAAATCAAAACGACAAATTGGCATTACCGTACGAGAAATCGAATTGTTTTCCGTTTTGAAACGAAGAAAGTAACGACCAGTGTTGCCAGATTTTTTTTAACTGCAAATTTGCCCAGAAAAAACTGTAACCTTCAAAACCAAAGTATTTTTTTTTTATGGTTTTTCAATTTTTTTAAACACAAATAAAAAACGATTCATCATTAATATTTAAGTAAATAAAAATTTACTTTATAAAAAGGAACATTTAAATCACATTTGAGAAAATAATAATTCCACATTTCCACTGGAATGCAAAGGATAACTGAAGCGATTTGTTTAAAATGCTCCTTCATCGTCCCGTTTTACCCTTAAAAAAAACTGTAATTTGTACTAGGAGGTAATTTAAACCACTGTAAGTTTGTCTAAAAAACTAATATTAAGTTAAAACTGTGAATCTGGCAACATTGGTAACGACATAGAAATATTCGTTATCTCATTGTTAGGACTAAATTGAAAATTAACTTCTTTTCACTATTTCAATTTACATATTTCAAGAATCCGAATTTCAGAACGCAGTGACGATAAAAACGACAAAGACATATAAACGGCAACGCCAACGGGAAGATACATATGCCCGATTATTTAGATATGCGAGGTCCTTTAGCTGAATGCTATTCAGATCAAATGCTTCTAAGTACTGTGGTCCTAGGAAGCGAAGTCTGGTCCTATTAAAAGCTTCGCAGTAGCACTTAGAGGGCAATTCTGGCTAAGATAGTTGAAAGTGTTTTATACGACAACTGGTTTATTCTGGCACGAAAGTCTTACAAAAAAAAGCCCATTACCAACTTTCATGGTGAAAAGCTCTTTTGACTGAAAGTACTTGTATATCTTTTTGTTCGCGCTGCTGTAACAGCCGCAATGGCCGAGTGAGCAAAATACCGGCAGGCACTCGAGAGATCCGAGGTTGGAATCAGCGGAATTTTTTTCTTGTTCTTAAATTTATAATTTTTTATTTATTTTTCTTATAATTTAGCTGTCCTTTAATTTTTAGATTTTTGTGTCACAAAATATATATATATATATTTACTTTAATTTTTAGAAACGTATTTTATTTAAATTTGTATATTTTAAAACTTTGAAAAGAACAACATGTTTTTTTTTTTAATTCATTGAATTGTTAGAAACAAGTTTTATTTTTTTAGTTTCTTTAATAGTTTTTTTGTAATTCAAGTTTTTTTAATTTTTAGTTTCTATCCGTTTGAATAGAAAAATATTTTTCTTTCAATTTAATTTAGTTTTAATGAACTGGTTTATTGTTGGATTGTATCTTCATTTACTTTTTAGACTGTATTATTATAAAAAGAAAAATATTCCTTTTTAATTTATTTAGATTTTTATTTAATTATTTCTTAATTCAGTTTTTAGATTTTATAGTTTTAAAAGGAACAATATTTTTTTGAATTCCATTTAATTTTTAGAAACATATTTTTTTCTTTTTTATAATTTTTTTTCTTTTTTGAAATTTAGTTTTTGGTTTTAGATATTATTGTTTAAAAAAACATATTTTTCCAAGTCATTTAGTTTTTAGAAAATTGTTTTATTTTTTTTATTTACTTTTTTTTTAATTTTTAGTTTTTATTGTTTTAAAAAGAAAAATATAAAAATATATGGTACGTATAGATTTTTTAATTTAATTTAATTTTTATAAAACTTGTTGCTAAAAGACGAACAAAAATAGTACCGCTAAGACCTCCTCGTTAGTAAGTCGTTTAATTAGAGACAATAAAGAGCTTTCAAGATGGTTGCCAGAATTGATAATTGTCTTAAGAAATACTTTTGTTTTTTAAAAGACTGTGGGGAGTTGAAGAACAGGCAAACAGCTCCCAGGTTTGGGTCACGTTGCGGCTTGTCAAGTGTCGGTATTTCCAGAATAAATTTAGCCAGTTTGTCAGATAATGGCAGACCAATGACCGATTTCTCGATGCGATGAGTGTCAGAAGCTGAAGGCAACCGAACATCAGCTTTGAGCTGACTTCGTAGACTTACCCGAAAAGGCGCTTTCTGCATTCCAGATTTCTTTCCGAAATTACGGTCCTTAAGTTGTAAAAGAAATCATAGCTGGGAAAGCATAGGTCCTCGAAGCTAATGACCTTCATTTGCTTCTCTAATACTGACAGTGAATGAGTGCTGCTATAAGCAGTAGAGCCACTTTCTTGATTACGACTTGGAGAGAAGGCCTCATTGGACTAGTAATGCTCACGCCGCACATAGAGGCACACATCGCCCACCCTAGCCCATCCTCAACGAACAGGCCTTTGTGTTTTAGCCAGTGCTCTGAGGTTTTTGGCACGCGCTGTAATGTTCTTGATCCCTTAGTGGAAGTGAATGCTTGAGTTTATTTTAGCACCTTTTCTCTCTCTCTTTGTAGTCGTCAGGAAAATTTGTCTAGAAACGTTTACTTCACTTGATGAAGAATTTAGTAAGGAGAGTTAATGCTTTTAAAAAGCTAACAAAGAACTCTCATATTCTTCTCATAAGAAAAGCAAAAACTCCATATAAAATGACGTACAAGAAATGGCTAAGAAATTTTCTTGAGTCAAATTTCCTTAAGGCAGTACGCAGTTCTTCAGAAATTTAGTACGCTTTCTACTACGGTTTTCTAAA